CTTAAACTATGGAGTAAGCATTTGGAAAAATTTCCACTGATACCTGATTTTAATAAAAATTTTGGCCAGGAATGTTTGCTATATCGAAAACCTTTTACATGTGCACACTTAAAACCAGAACTTTATAATTGAATTGGTGGAAGTAATTAAAGAAATGTGTGTCGAGATCTAGTAAACTTTGCCAAAATTTCTGTTTCTGTTTGGACCTACTTGAGAGATAAAGCTATTACAGGAACTTTTAATAAACTTTTCTGCTAAATCAGCATGCTAACTTCTGTTTCTTGCAAAAAGGGACAGAAATACTTGCAAAAATACTGCCTAGAAATTCAATTACATGGGTAGTTATTACATAGTGTTTGTGTACATTAGTAATTTATTTCCACTATAAAGTGTACATTCTTTAGGGGATAGTACCATCTCATTTATTATTTGTGTAAGAACTCTGGCAGTCATTTACAGAGCAAGTACAACATTCCAGATCTGGTGCTAAGTGATTTACAGTCTATCTTTTTAACAACCTATGACATGGTACTGGTATCGTTTTCATTTTACAACTGAGAAATTCAAGGTGATTTCCTAAAGAACACACAGCAATTCGTAGGCAGTGCTGAAATGTGAATTCTGACATCCTGAGTTCAGAATCTGCTTAACCACAGGTCTAAATCGCCAGGCTAAGGGTATCTAAGTTGAAATTACACAGAGTAGGTTCTTTACTGACACAATTAGTAAACAAGTAAAGGAAAAGAGTAACAGTTCTAGAAGGATTTCCTTATTAAACTAAATTAATTGTTATTTTTCTTTGGAAAAGACATTACTACTATGTGTAACTATTAAATTGTAGCTTTGATTTTGTCAAAAAAAGTAGTAGGAGGTGGGGAGCAAGGGGGGGAGGCTGGGATGGGAGAAATAGAGAAAAAAACTGTACTTGAAAAATAACTAAATAAAAATTTTAAAAAGTGGTAGCTTTGATTTCTTTTTTAATATATATTTTATTAATTATGCTATTACAGTTGTCCCATTTTTCATCACTTTATTCTCCTTTGCCCTGTACCCACCTCCCACCGTCATTCCCCACCTTAGTTCATGTCCATGGGTCATACATATAAGTTCTTTGGCTCCTCCATTTCCCATACTATTTTTAACCACCCCCTGTCTATTTTGTACCTACCGTTTATACTTCTTTTTCCCTGTACCTGTCACCTGTCCCCCTCACCAATGATAAACCTCCATGTGATCTCTATTCTGTGAATCTGTTTATTCTCTAGTTGTTTGCTTAGTTCATTTTTGGTTTTTGTTTTTTTAGGTTCGGTTGTTAGTAGTTGTAAGTTTACTGTCATTCCACTGTTTGTATTTTTTATCTTATCTTTATCTTAGATACATCCCTTTAACATTTCATATAATAAGGGCTTGGTGATGATGAACTCCTTGACCTTATCTGGGAAGCACTTTATCTGCCCTTCCATTCTAAGTGATAGCTTTGCTGGATAGAGTAATCTTGGATGTTGGTCCTTGCCTTTTGTGATTTCTTTCCAGCCCCTTCTTCTGATTATTACTACTTCTTAATTATAGAAAACTCAAATTAAAAGTTGGGTAACAGTGGGAATCTGTTATGCAGTGTATTCCTGACAAAGGAAATGCTTAAAGGTAGCTTTTAAAACTGATGAAGACAGAAACATGTCTTTTGAGTTTAAAAAGGATTGGCAGGTCCACTTCAAAGGAGAAAGGAAAAAGAAATTTACATTTAGAAAACAAGGAGAAAGATGAAAGTGAAAGCTATTAGAAGAAACTCGACAGAGGAAAACATCTATTCAAACAAAAGGCAGAAAAAGTAAACCATGATGCAAAAATATAGGTGAAGAAAAAAAACACATTTTGAGAGATTGTAGTTTAGCTTTGTTTTCCTCAACCTCCTTTCTCCACAAGGGATGCTATCAAGGTTATAGTAGATTCTTTTTTAAAAAATTATTTTATTGATGTTCAATTACAGTTGTCTGCATTTACACCCTACCACTCCCCCCAAACCCCAGTTAAACCCACCTCCCTCCCTTGCTTCTTCTACCCCTGCCTTGGTTTTCCCCATGTGTCCTGTATAGTTCTGAACACCCTTCCCTCCGTCCCCCCCTTATCCCCTCCCACCTCCCCTCTGGTTACTGTCAGATTGTTCTTAATTTCAATGTCTCCGCTTTTTATATGTTGTGTGCTTTTTTTCTTTTCTTAATTAGGTTCCTGTTAAAGGTGAGATCATATGGTATTTGTCCCTCAGTGCCTCCCTTATTTCACTCAGCAAAAGAAGTTCCTTTCTATTTTCCCTCAGGTACCCCCACCCTAGTCCTCATCACTCAGTCCAGATCCAGCAGAGTTACTCATACTTGGGAGTAAATATGAATTGTTTTTGGTGGACATTATGTGATACTGCTGGTGAGAGTTAGGAGAGGGCATCTGTTTGGAAAGGCACCCAGTGAACCTGAGTGTTCATCATTATCTAGAATCTTACCAAAGCCAAGAATGAGGCAAGAGTGCTCACTCCCACCACTGCTACTCAGCAGCGCTCTGGAAGTCCTAGCTGGAGCAATCCTGCGAGATTTTTTAAAAATCAGAATTTGAAAGGAAGAATGAAAATTGTCTCTATTTGCAGATGACATGACTTTACATGCAGTGAACCCTAAATACTCCACCAAAAGTGTTAGACCTAATCAACAAAGTCCAATAGTTTCAAGACACAAAATCAATACACAAAATTCAGTAGTGTTGCTATACTCTAACAACCAATTATCTGAAAGAGAAATAAAGAAAATGATCCCATCAACAAAGGCATCAAAAAAATAAAATACTTAGAAAGAGACCTTGCCATATCACCTGGTTCACCATATTTTCTAATTATGACTCATTATCTGTCTTCCCACTCCCACTGGAATGACTTCCCCAAAAAGTAGAGCTTGTTCAGTTTTATTAACTGCACCTTGATTAGTGCTGCTCATATAGTAGGTATATGTGTTTTTTCAATAATTGAATGAATTATGTAATCTGAATACAAACACTGAAACTTCACCTTTTGACCCTCTCTCAGCCGGGCAGCAATTTCATGGTGTTAAAAGATCCCATTATTTCCCTGTATTTAGTCAGCAATCCCTCTTATCCCCCAGTGTTTGAAACTAAAGAATGAAAAAATTATTATGAGAGGACAGAAAGTTTTTGGTTGGTCTGTTTGTTTTTTGTTTAATATAGTGGGGGGGAGGCACTTTCTTGTAATAGCCCCGAAAGACATCTTTGTAGAATCAATAACTGAAATTAGTAATTTGAATACTACTGTGGGAACATCTAATTGATTATCTTCTACCTAGGCACAAGGTCAACTCCTAACATCAAGTAAAGATGTAGTAGTTCTTTATGAAGAAACAGAAGGAGTACAAATGAGGCTCACTTATAAAGCCACAACTTCACTTCATTCCAGCAGATTTCATTCTGTGTTTAAGATTAGGCCCACAGCTAAAGTTAAGGCAAATAAAATACCCATTCCGTGGAGAAATCATCAAGGTCTTACTATTTATATCACACTGGTTACCGTGTAAGTATGTCCTTTCTTCAGGTAGCATACAATCACTTAAGGAAGAAAAAGGCTTAGCTATACTATATAGAAAATTAATTTGCTATACAGTGTTCAATTAGATATTTTGTATGTCTCTGGTAAACACAAAGACTCTATTTTCCTTATCCAGTCCAAAGCATGACCAAGTCCAAACATCATTGATTGTGCTTGCTTTTAGGAAAATATTTAGGAATATTTTTAGGAATATTTAGAAATACTTTTCGTAAATATACCTTTTTGATAGCCTAAATGACCCCTCCACTCTCCATATAATTCTGGACCCTGAGGTTCTCATCATGAAGCATACAGACTACCCCCCACAGTCACCCAAGGCAGCAGAATGCCTGAGTAGCAACCTGAGGACTCATGTTTATATATATGGCTTCTGTGCTAAAATGAAGCTGCCATTTTTCAGTGTGGAGTCTTTTTTTTTCCCTCATGACATAGACAAATGTTGATGTTTACTACAAGTTGGTACATTAGTTGCTAATTAAGTTCCTAGCTGCTTCAGCCAGAACTTGCTGTATTGAATCCAAGAAAAGAATGGCAGCTATGTCAAAAATCAGTCGTTGGGGATTTTGTTTTATTAAAGGAAAGTTGTATATGAAAGGATATGGGGAATTCACATGCTGGGAGATACAAAACCTTCAGTCTTGGCTTCCTCCTAAACTGAGTTGGTGGTTAAAGTATCCCTGGGTATATCACTAGGTCCTGGTCAGAGCCAAATAAACACTCCAATCTACAAATGGGCCACTAAAGTTAACTTTGTCATGACTTACTCTTTTCTCATATTCACCCAGAAATTCCCCAAGGAAACCTTTAGTTCTCGGGAAACCACAGGACGTCAGGTTTGTATCTAGAAAGGGTGCAGTGGTCACTTTATCCTGAGGTTGTGGAGTTACACCCTTCTGGAAATATATCTTGTTAGCTTCATCTCTCCACCTGTCCGTTGCAATCTTACCACCCTGGCGGGGCCAGAACCTGCTTGCATTCTCCAGCTATGGCGAGCTCCTTCCAGTAGGGCATCAGTTTCTCTTCTCTTCTGGGCTGGAAAGTCCCGATACACGCGCTCTCTTGCCTTCCACATTTTAGCTGACAAAGATGTTTTGCCGTGGGAAAGAAGTCTGATTTAAGAGGCAGGATCCTGCAAGGGAGACAAAAGGCCCGCGGGTGGTGCACTGCCGGAGCACCGGGGCCTCCCCAGGACGGACGGGGCGGGGCGAGTGCGCTTTCCTTTTCTCCGTCCGCGGTGCACTCAGCCAATGGACTCCCCTCGCCAGAACGATCACGGGGTGGCTCCTCTGGGACCTGGCAGCCACACCCGCGCCCCGGGGCTGACGTTTGGAAACTCCTGAAGAGGAGAATCGAAACAGAAACCGAACTGCCTGGCCAAAAGCGAGACTCAAAAGCTCCCAGCCGAGAGCGCAGCCGCGGCTTCCAGGTTTCCACCGGCAGCACTGCAGAGGCAGTGAGTCCGCGCTGTCGACCGCTGCTGCGTCCCCGCCTGGCACTCCACGCGCACCTGCCCACCTGCCCACCTGCCGGTTCCACCGCACCGCCGCGCGGATCTGGGGGTCCCTGTGGCCAACCCGGTTGCTGTCAGGCACGTTGCTGCAGACCCTGCTACTCCGAGGCACGGACAGTGGTACTCACATAGCACCTGTTGAGCAGAGAACAGCAACCTGTCCGTCTACTTGGGAGAACCTCTCCTTTTCTGAGAAGGAAAGATGTCGAACGGGTATTCTGCAGATGAGAGTTTCCAATATCTCATCTCGTGCTTCCGGGCCAGAGTGAAAATGTACATCCAGGTGGAGCCCGTGCTGGACTACCTGACCTTTCTGCCTGCAGAGGTGAAAGAGCAGATTCAGAGGACTGCCCTCACTGAGGGGGACATTTGCGCAGCTGAACTGCTCCTGAGCACCTTGGAGAAGGGAGGCTGGCCCCTAGGCTGGACGAGGTTATTTGTGGAGGCTCTTCGGAGAACAGGCAACCCTTTAGCTGCCCGCTACATGAACCCTGAGCTCACAGACTTGCCCTCACCATCGTTTGAGAATGATCATGATGAGTGTCTCCAACTGCTGAACCTCCTTCAGCCCACTCTGGTGGACAAGCTTCTGGTTAGAGATGTCTTGGATAAGTGTGTGGAGGTGGAACTGTTGACAGTCGAAGACAGAAATCGGGTAGGTGTCGGTACCCGATTGTCAGTACCAGGTGGAGTCCAGCTTTTAGGCAGAATTTGCAACTCAGGGCTGGTCATTTTTTGGCCCCATTCCAAATGTTCTTTGACATCTTTGGGTAAATCTTGCTCCCCCCCCCTTCTTGAGAAAAGAATGTCTAGGTACTTAAAACATAACTTTGAACATTTAAATACAAAAAGGCTAATTGTTCTAATTCTTTCACTGAAATAAGCAAGAATTAATTCTAGAATAATAATATGTGCTAATAGATAACATTTATTGAACACTTACTGTGTGCAATTAGTATATTTTGTAAAATGTATTATCAGTGTTCATGCTCAGAAAGAATAATCCATTGGGGTGTGTAATGTTATTGACTGTTTTACAGATGAGGAAACTGAGGCAGGTTAAAAACTTGTCTAAGGTTTCCTAGGAAGACGGTGGCAGAGCTAGTGATTTAGGGCCTGATGGTGTGAAGTGTTATGTCTTTTTCACCTGCTACGGAACAGGGATCATTAAAACATGGCACATGGGCTGAATCCACACTGCTCTTGGTTTGCCAGGCCCAAAAGCGAAGACTGGCTTTTAGAGTTTTAAATTTTGGGTGTTTATAAAGAAAGTTTTATTAGAACACAGCCATGCTCATTCATTAGAGATAGATTATGGCTGCTTCTGCACCTCAGGATAACCCACAAAGCCTAAATATTTATTATCTGGACTTCAAGGAAAATATTCTCAATCTCTTGCCTATATTGTGCATTATGCCATTTAGTCTTGGCCTAAATGGGGAAATCACATATAATATATACATTTTTTTCCTTTGGAGGTTCAACATTCTCTGAGAATCAAAGTTGGAAGATTCGTTGAGAAAACATGTCTGTAGTTGCAGTTTTTCATATTGGTGGAGCAGTGGATATTTTAGGTAGTATTTCAACAGGGTGAATTTTGCAAGGGACTTTACACTTAACATAATGTTTTGTTGTTCATTTTCAATGAGTAAGGGTGTACTACTAAGTATAGACATAGGGACCTATTTGAATCTGAATTATCAGGGTAATAGGTCAAAGTCTTATCCTGAAAGGCAAACTGGGAAATAAACCTATGACTAAAAGTCAAAGGCCTTGTCTAACATGCTATGAATTTAACATTTTCTTTCATTCATTCATTCTTTTTTTTTTTTGACTTATTAATTGTTGGTATCTTTATTACAAGGTTTTGGGCCTTGGACTCATATCAGCTTATCATGTGACTTAGTCTTTAGTGACTAAATTTCATGTTCCCTTGTAGATTTGACAGCTATGGGGCCTGTCCAAAAACCTAAACATGCATCTAATTTTGATGGCTGGTTTTCCCAACAAGTAAATTACTTTACACTGTTGTCTGTAACGTTTATGTAGTTTTGTGTATTGAGAACCAGCTAGAACGCATTATAGTAGTCCAGCTGGATATGACAAATGTGTACATCACTGTGGCAGAATCTTAATTTGGAAGACAGTATGCAGCCTTCAAGCCAGCTGGAGATAGAAGATGGCATTTTCCGCCACAGTAGCTGTTAGGAAGTCCAGAAGCAACAGAGTCCAGTAACACCACAAAGCTGTTTATGTTTGGTGGGTATGATGTCCCGATTGCCAGCGAAACAGCACTTTTCCTTATTTACTCTAAATACTTCTGCCTATCAGCATCACTTTTGTCTTGCCTGGATTGAATTTCCTCCAGCTAGATTTTATCCAAGTTCTTGATTCTGGCAAGCTAGGAGGCAGCTAGCAGTAATGCAAGGGAGTTGACACAAGGAAGATATAGAGTAAAGGGACATTTGCGTACTGGTAGCAGTTAAGGCTAATGCAACCCAAACTCTCCCTCAGATTCATATCTCAAAGGAGGCACCGAAAGACGAAGGGGCTGTGTATTTGAAGCTCTTTAAAAAAGAATAGTGTCTCTGTGAGATTCTGGAATGATTTTTGTGCACATCATTTTACATGTGTCATCAGAATAAGAAATACACCATGGTGAACAATGGGAAGGATGGTTTAGAGGTTCCTCTAGGTTTAGAGGAATCTATTCATAGGGAGGCCATTGATGAATGTTTATCTGAAATGGGAAAAGTGCAGTGGGAAAAGCATGAGAATTTGGAATGGAAATGTCTGGACTTAACCTCTTTGTTTCTTATCATATATGTTACTTTGGGCCAAGTTTTTTAAGTTCCTTGATTTAAGTTTACCCATGAGAATTAATATAATAATAATTTCTTCTCCCACAGAATTTTAGTGAACACAAAATCATGTTTATGAAAAAGCTATATAAGTAGTAAAGAGGTATTTTGCTGCGATGATGATAACTTTTATTATAATTTCATTTGGTTACATTTGCTTGTGAATTTACAGTTTCAGGGATTTAGGTTAACTGAGATCTGATTTTTAAAGTCCCTGAATTATAAACTGGGACTACCTTTATCTTTCCACCTTTAAGCTCCCAGAACCTAACCAAGACTAGTATAGGGTTGGTACTTAATAACTATTGATTAATACTTATGTGGTTAGTTAAATTTATTTCCAAAGAGTTGTCTAGAATAAGAGAGGAAAACACATGATATAATGAATCATGGCAGACACTGGGGCATGGACGGGTGATAAACATTAAGAGTTCAAAATTTGTTGTTGGACAGCTTAAAGTAGCATTTAACTAAGTAGTCAGAACTTCTAAAAATCATATTTTATTTTAATTCTTTTCTAGTTTTCCAGGAGACATTGTTTACTTGGTCTGTTAGTTTAGGATTCTAATCTCCTTATGTCAGCTCTCCTCCCCACATGGTACAGCTTCTGAAAATGAGCCCGGATTTAATTTTGTGTCCAGCGACTACCCAAAGAAACTTGTGTAATTGTTTTATCTATTCATTAATGAATTTGTAGAATGGCACAGAGGTGCCATGATAATGAGAAGATTGGAGAATAACACAGATATTGTCTGTACTTTCATGGAGCTTGTGTGATAGTGTTGATCAGTGTTCATTCTTCTAACAAATAGTTACAGAATGTCCAGCTTCTGCTAGACATTATTGCGAATACTGGTGACTCAGAAATAAGTACAAGAATCGCTTTATGGATTGTTACAATAGAATGATCACTAACTGTAAGGAGTGCCCATGGATCGACCTGCTTCTCCATTAGGATGCTTATCAGACATCTTGGCCCATTCATTGACTTCGCCATGAATTCTGGAAAAGAAATGGTCACATAAACATTTTCATAATGTCTTAATATCATTTGGAGCAGTTGAAGAGAAGTGCATGTGTCAGCTCTGGGCAGCACAAAGCATAAGCATTTATAGTCCTGGAAAACCCCATACAACTTTTCTTTGCACAGGAGAACCCAAGATGCTAGGACCAATCCAACTAGAAACCTAGTCCACTAGTCCAGTTCTGCCTACAGGAAATTGAGTACCTTGGTCCTTCCCCACCAGTTCACTATATTACTAAATAAAGATAGATAAGAATTTTAGTTGCGGGAAAAAGTATTAATAAGAAGCTAGTTCTGTTCATTTGACAATATACAATCATTTGGTAAGATACTAACTTTTTAGGGAACTGGTTCTTTAAAATTCTTTGCTTTTAATGTAAGTTTTAGTTCCTTATTTACTGGTACTTTAAGAGTTGAGCTTTGCTGTATTAAAAAAATCACCATTATATTTAAATAGCTATCTACGGTTATGATGAGGGACAGAAAACATTTTCATCAAGCTGTACAATTGTGTTAGTAAACCAGTGCTTATTGGAAATATCATTGGTTACTCATTTCTGTTGGAAAGAAAAACATAAATCAAAGAATCTAGAATATGAAAGCATTAAGTTGTATTATCCATAAGTTCATATTTACCTTATATACTTTAAATTAGATAAGAATGTATTCATAGACATTTCAAATTATGTGTAATTGATTTTCAGAGAAAAAATTCAGTGTGGGAGGAACATGAGTGGGAATCATTATACGTTCTGTTGCAGCCTCAAGTCAAAATATTTACCTTCCAGGAATTTCATCAGTCAAGTGTATGTATTGAATCTAATATCTTTACTGTGTTTTAGGAGAGCAGATTAAGTAAAAAAATATATTTATATATGTATATAGTTGCTGCAAAGTGTGTTGATGTATTTTCTAACACCCAATCAGGGAAGATTCCTTAAAAATTCAGAATCTTGATGAAGCTGACAAAATTGCACAGGTATTATATGCAGTTCCACATTCAAATAATAAAAATACTTACAGGAAATAATGACATAAGAATCCTTAAATACTTGAACTCAGTAAGGACAAAGCAAGTTTGATAAATGTAATTTTATAGTAAAAATTAACTGATTAATAGTTAAAGAAAATTTAATGGATAAATATGCTTAGGTTTTTAATGAAAGTATTTATTACAGTGCTTCACTTGTTCTTTTTAGAGAAATTCTTTCTGATTAAGTTAGCAAATAATAATAAGGTCATTTTAAACACCATTGAAAACAAAGAATTTTTATTAAAGAAATTAAAGAAAAAGGTAAGAAATGAGCAAGAATCTGCTTACGAAATGCCATGGGGAGATGAACTGAAATCACCTAAAACGTATAAAGTTCAAGCAGTTATTTTAAACCTTCTTGCCAGAAAACGAACTCAGAGTTAGGGACATTATTGGCACAGGAAGGCGGATTGCCTGCAGTCAGCTTCTCCCTCTGCCGTGTGCTGGTGGTGTGTCCTCAGGGAGGCAATTGGACTTCTGTGCACCTTGGAGTTTTGATCTGTACAATGGGTCAATATTGTTACCTTTTTTTATAGTTGCAGGGTTAATATATCCAGGGCCTTTATAATAGCATTATTAACTATTAGCTAATGAGACTACAGTATCCTCTGGGTAGAAACCATGCTATATGCTTACATACTAAGCAGTGTTCACTGGTAAAATATTTGTAAAGGTAGATGTTTTTTCCTAGTCATCCATAAAAATAGCTAACACTGAATCTGTAGACATTGTACCCCAAAATGCAAATTCCTGACTTTAAAAGCTTATAACATATATTTATAGGGACTAGGAAACACATATATTTCATAGGAAAAACTACTCTAGCTATGCAGTAGATCCCAGACATCAGTATTCGTTAAAGCTGAGTCCTGTGTGCAGCAAAGATGCCTGAAGTCTTGTTCAGTTGCTGCATTTTACAAATGTAGCAACTGAGGCTTGACCAGAGAGATAAAGTAGCTCCCCTGATGGCAAAGCAAGCTGGTGGTGTCCTGTTTTCTGCTCTAACTGTGGCCTGTGTTTGTCCACGTTTAGCAAGGTTTGCTTCGATTATTCATCTGAGAGGGAAATTAAGTGAAGCCTAAGGGTTGTAATGAAAGAATGGACAAATAATTCTGCTCCCTACTTTAGAAAGGAATAGATAGAGAGTTAAACCTGTCTCATAATTTTAAATAAATGCCAACTTAAGAAAAATACTATAGTAATAATAAATATTGCTAATATTAAATAGGCAAGAATATAAATCTGTGAGAGTAGTGACTTCATCGTGGCAATAGTGAAGAAATAGGAGTTAGATAAGAAATGCTTGACTTACCACTTTCAGACTCCACGAGTTCAAAGTAAAAATCGGGACCTAAATACACAAAAATGAATTGATGCAAATAAACATAAAATGGCTAGAGAGTAAAGGCCCTTTCTTTTGCATCCCTTCCTCAGAATGGCCGAGGTAAAACATTTATTGCTACAAGTGGCCCTGCTCCTTTCTCTAGCGTTGGAAATGTCTTTTATTTACACTTAGGCTTAATGCTCAATTTTGCTGAAGGCTAGTTCCTTTTTAAATTAATTCTGAAGATGCTTGACCTTCTTGAATTCTGCTTTTCTCTGAAAACAGGTGTCTGCTGCAGAACGTGACGGGAACGAAGCGGGTGTGCGAGAACTGCTGAGGCGGATTGTGCGGAAAGAAAACTGGTTTTCCACCTTCGTGTTGGTTCTGCGGCAGACGGAGAACGGAGCCCTCGCCCTGGAGCTGACGGGCTCCAGCACCTCCGAACCCGGCGCAGGTATTTCTGGTTCCACCGGGGAAGAGTTTGCGCGTTCGATCGGTGGCTGAGAGTTTAATGAAGCCTGCAGACACAAGGCCACACGCTAAGATATTTAGAACCAAAATTTCAAAACTGAAAGGGCTTTCAGAGATCATCTCTTTTTCTCCTCTTTACAAATGAGAAAACTGCTGCCTAGGAAAACATTAACTTACAGAAAACCACAAAACTTAGCAAAATACACGAGAATATTGGGACCATTGGCAGCTGACTCCGACACTCTTTCCATTACCCCCACCTTATTTTAAAAACAAGGTGATTGAAATTTTTATCAAGATATTTTTAACATTGAACAAATTGGAAGACAATGTTTTAATGGTTATTATGACTCTGCTGCATAGTCTTCTTGGTATTTATATATGTTTTAAAGGAATTTATTAAATATGTGATTAAATGTCTGTAATAGCCAACATATTTGTATATTACTTCATGGGAGTTTTTGACATTATTAAATTATAATAACATAAGTAACATTTTATAGCCATATATCTGTAAAGCTGGTTTAAACTGCCATTTTATCCCTGGCTGTGCTGCTTAATTGGAGGGTGTGGTCCCTGGACCCCAAGATCGCAGGTCCGATTTCAGGTCAGGGCACATACAGGAAACCACCAAGGAATGCGTACATAAGTGCAGCAATAAGTTGATCTTTCTCTCCTCTCCCGCTACCCCCTTCCCCTCTCTCTCTAAACTCAATTAATAAACTGCGATCTTATTCTTTTCAGAGTATGTATCTTATGTTTTCAAAAATATCATACATAAGACAAATTGAAAGTTAATTGGTAATAACTGATTTAAATGAATTAGAATTATTTCAAGCTCCTATCTACCCATTTGGTCATTCATTCATGCAACTAACTTTCATGAGTACCAAAGGGGTGCCAGACACTTATAGGGGCTGAGGCTGTGGACTTGAAGGAGATACACAACCTCCTCCCCCTATATACCACACTTTCTAATAAGATATGGAGTAAATGATTTCCTAAGTTACCTATACAAAATAAAAAGGTAGCTGCTAATGATTAACAGTTTATTATGTTTTTATATTATATTAATTAGATAGCTTAATTTTGCCCAGTGGTTTGAAGTACATACAAAGATATACATATATATAAAGATAGATACATGCTAGATACATAGAAAGGAAGAAATATTTTTACTGTGCTGTACTGAAATGCTCTAAAAATATTTGGATAAGGTCTTTTATCTTCACCCTAAAACAATGCTTGGTAGTGTCATATGCTCATGCCCCCCCCCCCCCCCAAAGAGAAACTCTCAGGAGGCCTTGCAGCTATCCATTCTCTCTCTTGAATTACTCAGGATTAAGGTAGGGGGGAGGGGTTCGATCAGTCAAACTCGGTCAGTCCAACTTTCAGAATCCAGATAGTCACCCCAGCATCTGTCTGCAAGCAGGTTCCAGGTTTCTACTGTCACTGCTTCTGTTCCACAGGAAAGCCAAACTGTACAGAAAGTCCTGTCAGTTGGAAGCTTTACTTTGCATCAGCTTTCTGGAAGGGCCTCAGTTGCAACATCAAGACTATGATTTTTTACGCTTACAAATTTCGGCCCAGCCATTGTTCCCACAGCAGGTCTCTAAGACCAGTTTGCGAAGTCTGAAGGTACTTCCAGCTAAAGCTACATACAAAGAGAGTACTTCCGCCTCTCTCCTACATGCCGCAGAGATGAGCTGAGCCCCAGGCTAGACCATCCCTTTCATGATGAATCCCTTTCAAGATGCCATAGGAACACTTCCCTTTGTGCCAAGCATTCTAGAACTTGACCTTCAAAAGGGAATGACTGCTGTTTGGTTCCCCCCCCCTTAGACATTTTAGCCTTGGTATATCAAAGACTATTAGAAAGGTCAGCCTTTCAGATCACATAAGACCTTCTCATATCCATCCCCCAAACTAGAGAGTACCCATCCCTCGTACACTTGTGTGCAGTGGCATAATTGTTCACTAGAGGGTCTAGGAGATCTGCTCTAAAGTGTCTTCTAGATTCTCCTGACAAAGACAATGTGTCTGGCAGTATTTCTTGCGAAGATATTTTTAAGTTCTACTTTACAAGTTACCTTGCTAGAAGTTTAATGTAATTTTTCAAATTGTAATTCTTTGAACAATAACAATCTGTAAAGAGTATGTATAGTAAATCTCATATCATACCTCTTATTACTGACTTTATTCTCTACTATTAATTTGTACTTAAGCCTCTTTCAAGTTCTCTCAGCCCACGCACACATCAAGGCTGGCCAGGGCCAAGCATTTCAGAGAAGTGGGAAGTCCTTATGAAAAGAAAAATAGTGGCACCAGTTCCCCATCAGCCTTGCATCTATCCCTGGGCCTGCAGCAGAGTCCTGTCATGGCTGGGGCCCCTCCCTCCTTGGTCCGAAGTGATGAATGTTGACTCAGATATGTGGGCTATTGTGAGGGCAGGGAGCAGAATGGAAAGGATCTCTGAGCTTCCTTTGAAGGTGGGGTGGCAGATGCCAATCTGGGTCTGGGGCTCAGCGTTCTTCTGCTCCCACACCAACTTATTCCAAACAAGTAGGACTTAACTTTTTCTTTCCTCAGGAAACCAAATCGGCAAAGTCAGGGATTTAGATATCGTTCACTGAACAGCACATCTGATCGTGAGAATCTAAGCATTTTTCTAGCAGGTCTTGATGATCAAAAAGTTAGTTGTGATTATTCTTGTGTCTAAGAGCTGCTATGGACTAAATTGTGTTACCCCAAATCCACATGCTGAAGCTGTAACTCCCAGGGAGACTATCTGGATACAGGGTCCTTAGGAATTAATGTTAAATGAAGTCAGAAGGGTAGTCCAAAATTATACTTCAGATTTTTTTCTGTATGGTATCAGTCTTCTCTGACAGATTGCAGCTTCTTAAGGACAGAACTCTCGTTTTTCTTTGTGACCACACAGCCCTTTAAGAAAATAGTCAATATATGTTGGTTGAAGGGAGAAGGACCGGATGGAAGAGGGAGAGGGAAGAAGAAGGGAAGGGTATGGAGTATTTCACTGAATGGTTAAAAACTCTCCAGAAATTAGGAATCCATGCATTTAGGCTGACAGTAAAGCATATGTACATCTCAGGTAAAACATACAGTGGGGGAACAAAATGGCAAGAGCACAAGCTAAAGAGAAACTACCACCAAATTTGCATTTTCATTAGCTCAGCCTTAGGTGTGACTTGCGCCACTGAGTGAGTGGCTTTACCTCTGAAAGGTGATGATGGCCAGATAGGGGATCACCTCCCTGCAGTGTCCACAAAACCAGACTCCAAACCTTTCACAGGGTCCAGGTGTCCAAGTGCATTCGGGCAAATCTCTATGAGGGACCCCCCCCAACTTGGTAGTCAGAAAAACAATAACTGGCATTTATAGTGTATAAAAGCTTATATTGCAATATAATGTACATTCTGTTTAGGATTCAAGGCATTGAAGTATATTCAGGCAAATCTCTATTTAGAACCCCCAATTTCATTTTCAAAATGACAATAATGGTTTTATGTATACTGTACAAAACTGTACATTGGGCTATTTTTTACATTCTAACACTTCTCTTTATAGAAAATGAGAATTTATCACAAGAAGATGGTTCTGAAGTTAAAGAGCCGCTTCTTTTAGCCTCAGATCCGCCAAGTCCGGAGACACAGGGCTGGGACTTGGAGACTAACTCCGTGGAATCATCTCTTGCGGATTCTTCTGCCATTTCAGGTACTTGCGACATTTCCACACTTTGCAGACACCAGTGACTACTTCCCAAAAAAGCAGTTCGTGCGTTGGTGACATCAGGATCTGTTAAGCAGAGGGAGAAAATTTGGGCTTTGGGGTTTTGTGAGCATTTTTATTAAAATAGTATTTTTAGAAGAGATTAAAATAATTCCTCTGGGGCTGAAAATGTTTTCAAAACTAATGCAATATTAATATGTTATGAGTACGAACACATTTGGTTCTAATTTTACTTTGGAAGACATCTGTGGTCCTTGCAATGTGGTAAATATCATACACATGCCCTCTATTTTACTGTTTTCAATGTACTTTCAAATATGTTATAGACATGTGCCTCGTAAGGATGCTTGCGTCAGTGATGACCGCACATATGACGGTGGTCCGACAATATTATAATGAAGCGGAAACATTCCTGTTGTCTAGTGACACTATGACCATTGTGAGGGCGCAGTGCAATGCATCGCTGACATGTCTGTGGTGATGCTCCTGTAAACAAAAAGCCTCCAGTCGTCTAAAAGTATAGTGCATACAGTTGCATAGAGTACATGGTACTTGTTAATAAATGACCATGTTAGTGGTTTATGTATTTACCATGCTGTACTTTTTATCACTGTTTTAGAGTGTACTCTAAAAGTTTGCCGTAAAGCAGTACGCCGTGTTACCCTGGCCCCAGCCTCATGCATCTCTTGTTTACTGAATCTCTCGATTGCCTCATTTTCTCTTGTGCTTGGTTTAATCTCATGGTGTTTTGTACACTAACATGCTGTAAAGGCTAGTGGCCTGGGAGCACTAGGCTACACCGCACAGCCTCAGTGTATAGTGGGCTGTACCATCTGGGTTTGCGTATGTGCACTCAGCAATGTTCGCACAACAACAGAATCATCAAATGATGTTTCTCGGAACATATCCCAGCTCTTAAGCAGCTTGTTTCATCCAAGGGCCTGATAATGAAGTAAGGCCATTACCTCACCCACTACTTCACAGACTGGGGTGTCTCAGGGAGGCTCAGCGGGGTAGCAGAGACTAAAACTAAGGCTGTTGATAGGAAGACACGCAGGTGCTTAACTGGCATTGGCTTGAATTGCAGTAACTAAGTGTGAGAATGAGATATCATGTTCAGCTTTTTGATGCGAAACAGCTCCGGAAGGATCAAACTAATTTAATTATGTTCCTCTCCCTCATTCGTTCATGATAGAATCCTTCTCTCTTCTTCTATCTCTTCAGCAGAGCCACATTCTGGTTTCTCAAGATATACTTAGTCTGCAATGAGCTGATAAGTGTTTAACAAATAGCTCTCTGGGGAAAAGAAAAAAGTTCTGATTGGCAGTGTATACCACTCTCCCTGGTGTAAATTCTCCCACTAAGGCTGATCTCAAGCCTTCAACTACTATAGCATTTTCATTGTAGAGGCATAAATAGCCTCAACATCATAGACAATATAGTAAATTGATCAGGAAATGATGGGCTGTAAGCATTCATTACCTTTGTTTTAATATAATTTATTTAATTGTATCACTACATTTATGTAACTTAATTTTTTTAAAGACCGCTCTCAACAACTGGCTCCCCAAATTTCTGAAAATGTAACAGTTGGCCCTTGTGAGCTGGTATAAGCTGACTCCAGCAACCACTGTAAAGAATACTATTTTTGATTCAGAAAAGTAACGAGGCTGCATTACAGCAAATTTGAGACATAGAAACATACAAAGTCAGCCATACTCCCATAGTACAGATACATTATTCGTAACAATCGAGTGTGTATCCTTCCCATCTGTGTACATACCTGGATGTTTATACATAATGCCATTTTTCCTGTGTTCTTTAGGTGTTCTACAGAATGGCTTATAAAAACTGAATGACAGTTTTATGTGCTGGGTACATTATAATGGATTATCTGATTATTAAACATTTATGATGCTTCCACATTTCCAAACTGGGAATAATGCCACAGTAACTCTTGTATTTGTGTCTCTGTTTAACTCTTATAAATGTATTATATAATTGAAATTTCTGGATCAAGTGATTTCTGCAATGTGAAGACATTTGATAATTGATGTCAGATTGCACTCCAGGACCTGGTATCAGCTCACGTGCCCTCCAGCAGCACGGAGAGCCCCTATTGCCCCGAAGCCTCTTCTGTCCAGGCAGGCGTGGGTGATGTTTTAACACTTTCGTCGCTGGGCATTTTATTATTTCAATTTGAATCTTTTGATTCCTAATGAAAAACATTTACAAGTGTATTCATTTTTGTTGTTGTTTTTGTTAATTACCTGTTTTTCTATTAGGTCCTTTATCACCTTCTTGCTGGTTTACATGAATTGTCTATAGCAATCCTTCGTCATGAATAGTACCAGTATTTTTTAGAGTTTGCTCGCTACTTAGGCTTGTTTATGGTGTCTGTTTTCTTCGCACGGTGCTCCTGAGGTCAGCTGGAGGAGGGTCTTCTTGCAGTGCAGATGCTGGTTCAGCGGGTCCTGTGTGGGGCCTGAGGTTCTTCCTGCCTTTCTCTCCTGCTCTCAGGCACTGCTGCTCCTGCCTGTCCTGGACTGCATGTTCCATAGCAAGGTTTAATGTCTAGGATAGCAGAGCTTTTAAACCTGACTTCTGGAAGATTTTTCTTGTTTCATTTGAGCAACTGTGCTTTCCTTCAAAAATCATATCAGTAGGAATGCCAAAACCCTCTATCTAACTTTGGAGTTTTCACCCTTTAATATGTTTCTTTGGCAGGCTACCTGACATCTCTGTGGGTGCCTGGCTGTTTTCTAAATCTACACTGGACAGAACCAAAGACAGGATAAAGGCTGGGAAATGATCCTTCGTCTCAAATAAGGTTTTCCTCAAAGGGTGCCTAGTGCATCTCATCAGATTGTACTTTATGTATGGAGGATTCTGAGTCTCACTCAAAGTGAACAAAGTTAAAAGCAAATCTTTTTTAAATTTCTGTTTTCCTACTGTTCAATATAAAACTTATAGCTGCATCTTGTGAATAAAAAATCTGGATCTTAGTAACTACCGTAGAGAACAGAAAGGGATTTTCTCTCCCGAGATTCCTCCCTTCCTCTCGTCCCTTCACTTCTTTCATTTAACAAATAGTTGTGGTGTCCCAGGAGTGTAAATCCAGGGGAGTAGGGGACAGAAATGGCTCCTCCTGCCACAGTCATTTTACCTGATGGCTGTGTCAGGCAAACAGTAGTCACTATATTAGCTGCATAGTACGTGCCATACAATAGTACTATAGCAAGTGCTATGAAAGAAAAGTACAGGCTATTAATGTATATAATAGTCTGAAGATATGTGCATGTTCAGGAAGATGTACAGTAACCTGAGGACTCCATCCCACACACAGACTTGAACTCTGTTCTAATCTGGAACGTCTTTGTGATGTAGATTTCAAAGCAGACTGGGGCCATTCTGGCTCTTTCCAGAGCAGTACCAAAGAGTTACCTATTTATGGAAATACAGTGTCTTCGCATTAGGGAATAGACGCTGCTGCTGTGAATTATTCCAAGTGTCTATTTTCTTGTTGCTCTTCAGAACTACAAGTGCTGATACAAGTAACTTGTAAAATACTGTGAGCCCAAAGAAGTTATGGAGTTATTTTGATTAATTTTTTGTTGCAAAATTTACTCTGGAAGGATTTTGCCTACATTGACTTCTTTGACAGAATTAACAATAAAAATAAATATGAAAATATCCCTTAATGTCTAATATGCACTTGCATAATTTTGTTCTGATATAAATAATATATAATCTTTATTTTGAATTCTAATATATTGTGTTAAGATTTCAAATACAGTTACCAAAATGGCATTGAAAGAAACTTTTACTTAAAGTGCACATAATCTGCACATATGAATTTTCATATGCAGAAAGAAAAAAACTTGAATTATTTCCAATTTTAAATGAAGATTTCTGTAATTTTTATTTCTGAACCAGTTTCTAAATTTTTATTCAGTGCATACAAGTGTTAATTACTTTAATTTAATGCAGAGATTCCTCATATATTGTTTTTAGCTCCTTTTACTCATTACTACACCTAATGGGTGAGACAGACTGCCATTAGTAACAGTGGCCCAGCCTGAAATCGGTGGTAGTCCGGCCCCTCCTTCTTGCTAGGAGTGACCTATCAGCGTTCGCTAGTGGGCGGGTCTGGAGAGTGACTGCAACCCTCATGGGGGCTGGCATTTCTTCTTTTTTCTCCTTCCAGCTGCTTCCCGTAAAACAGAAGTGGTTAATTAAGGAATACCAAAAGATGATGGTTTGCTCTGCCATTTTTTCAAGTTAACACAATAATGTCTAAAGGATATTGGAATAGTCCTCAGACTATCAGTAGGATTTTAACACTGGGTTTACAGTATAGTCCTGCTTTCTTAAGTCACTGATCATCGTATCACAAGAAAATATTGGAAAACTTTGGTGTCTCTATAGACTACACATCCCCAGAAAACAACAGAGGGCAGAAAGCCTACATTCACTTTATGCCATTAAAATATTTTACTTACAGCAAGTACATAATTATGTGGATTTAAGAGTTCTGTAAGTGGACGATAAAAGAGTTCTGTAAGTACAATCAGTTTTAGTTGTCTGTTACTTTGTCACAAGGGAGTAGTTATTTTACATCAACATTTTTATTATGCTATTTCAGGAAGTAATGCTCTATAACAAAATGAAAGTAAATTAAATGAGATTCTCAACTAAATAAAAATTTTTGTACTTGGTATAGACTTACTTCGGTGCAGAGTTCCGAAGAATATCCCCCAAACTTCTTTTATCATTCTCTGTTGGATCTTGCTGTTGTCAAACTAGAAAATGCAAATACTCAGATTGGCCAGCAGAGGGCGCTTTTACATTTCTAAAGAAAATGTAATTTCACTGTTCAGTGTAATGTAAGGGAGTCGAACGTGCTGTGTGTGAATATACAGTGCGCATGCCTATGAATGCATGTGTATATTTTGATTTATATATTCGTTCACGTGAAGATTTTA